TGTTGTACACATTGCCGCTGCTGCTAGGCCAGCCCCGTGGGATATCGGGAACAAGCTACCTGCCTCCCCACAAGATGGCTCCTGGGATCTCTAGAAAATGCTCCGTAGGCATGGACTGCAGTGCTCACATACTCTCAGTGGTCCTCTGGATAGACTGCCGAGTACCCAATACTTCGTATTGAACACATTTGTCACGGGCCCCAGGACAGGTTCCCGAGCGACTGGGACCTGTTTCTCCCCGCCCCCACCCGCAGGGCATTTCCCCCTAAGCCGCGACAGCGGTCTTCCCGACCCAACCCCTCAACAGGACCGGGAGGCACGGCTCAGAGGCCCACAACCTCACAAGCGAAGCTTGAATGGGCTGCTTGCGTTTACCAGATGCGCCCTTTCCGACCTGAGAATGCCCAGGACAGACCAAGGAAAAACTCCAAAGATCGCCTCAAGGCAATCCTGAGGTTCCCCTTGAGGAGCTCAAAAGGCTTCCAAGATGGTCCCAAGAGGTGGCGAAAAAGAGCGTCACCAACAGACCGACAAAAGCCTGCCGTCCAAGATGGACCTAAGACTCCCCAGAGGCCCGTAAGAGGCCCCACGAGGCACCCGAGGGGCCCTCCAGGAGGCCCGCAACAGGCGCCCTAAGAAGCCCCCCAAGAAGCCTGAGAGGCCCCCCAAGAAGCCCGCAACAGGCGCCCCAAGAAGCCCCCCCGAGAGGCTCCCAAGATGTCTCAGATGGGTCGCAAAGATGCCTCCAAAAAAACGGCAGGGCCGTCCTCTTTGGAAGCCTCCCGACCGTGTGCCCCGTTCCCCTCGCCGCCACAAGGCCCAGAACGGTGGCGGCCGTTGCGTCGGCAGGCGACGCTCGCCTTGAGAGGACAGCGCCCGCGGCAGCACCGACAGCGCATCCTCGGCCCACACACGGGCAGGAACGGCTGCGACGACGATGACGACGACGACGATGACGATGACGATGATCATCATCGTCATCGTCATCACAGCAGCACACACGAATGGACGGTTTCCCCCGGGGCCGTAGGCGACCCGAGGGGGGGAGGGCGCGGAGGGGGAGGGCGAGGAGGAGAAGGAGGAGGAGGAGGAACGAGGAGAGACGAGGAGGGACGAGGATTTTTGTTTGACATGAACTGCAAGGTGACGAAAAAAGGCGGACACCTGGCACCATCACCAGGCGAGCTCCCACAAATGGGGAGGATCCCCAGTGTTGGCCTGCACGTCCACCTACCTCCACGGCATAGGCTCTATCGACACGCCCTTGCGTGTCGGATGGATGCCTTTGCAAGTCTGATTTAAAGACCAGGTCTGCTTAGCAGTGGGGTTGCTACATTCTTTAGCCAGCCCTCGTACATAGCTAATTGTAGCATACGAATGGCACTTCAGACAAGCTGCAATGAAGGAACCATCCGACACCAAGAAAGAAACCGTTTGACGCCCCAGAGCCCTCAGGGAAGGCCCGTCGAGCTTGGAGACATCGGGGCAAAGCCCCCGAGGCGGAACCTGGGGACCTTTCTGCGAGCGCAAACATGGCTGGCATCTCCAGAACCCAAGACGATTCCCAATGAGCTCCCAAGCCTACGCATGACCTGGCCCCTTAGGGGCTGGCACTTTGGGGGAAGGGATCCATGGGTACAAAAACAAATCAATTCTCGGCCACAGAGGCAGGATCTTGGCAGCGAGCGCACGGACAGCCTGCGAGACACGGACACGAAAATCCAGCTGCTGAGCTTCTGCCTCCGACGGCCGCGAATGCGAGGATGCACGGAATTTTGCAGCCTTGTCGGCTTCGTCGTTGTCCGTTCTCAGCCAGCGTTCACGCTCTGAGATGCCCGCCTCCAGCGGGTCTTCGTGGGCCTTGACCTTCGAGACACCATCCACCCACCTCCGGCCCAACCGATACAACATCATAAGACCAGCGAAGGGATTCTTATAATTGAGCTGCACTTCGCTGGCCTTGCTGCAGAGGGAGACTACGTTCTCACAATCCGAGTAGATGGTGGAGGGGGCTTCGACTTCGAGCCCCGCACGCGCAATGCCTGCAAACTCAGCACGCTGCGACGTCTGGATAAATGGGGCGTGCACGGGCCCAGCCAGCACTCCGAGCCTGCACCCCTCGTCTGAGATCAAAGCCAACCCGTAACCCGCTCTGGAGAGTTCGCTGATCACATGCCTGTGGCAACTACCGTCGACAAAAATGTTGCCCGAAAAACCGCCACCTTTAGGGGGGGGCTCGTCCTAAACCAACCTGGCCTGGAAATCACTGTCCTCATGCGAAGGCCTAGGGAACAAGTCCCCAGGATGAGGAAAAAACAACACAAATAAACAGAGCCTCATGGACGGGGTCGGACATATCCGCGTCAGTGGCAGCAATTAAAATGTGGGACTTCACCAACTCTTCACGGAATGAGGCGACACTCGGACAGAGGAGGGAGGAGGAGGAGGAGGAGGAGGAGGAGGAGGAGGAGGAGGAGGAGGAGGAGGAGGAGGGAGGATGAGGAGGATGAGAGGGAGAGAAAAGAGACGGAGGAGGGAGGTAGGAGGAGGAGGACGATGAGGGAGGCGGAGCATGACGAGGAGGAGGAGGAGGAGAGGGAGGGAGGAGGAAAAGGCGACGGAGGAGGAGGAGAGGAGGAGGAAGACGAGAGAAGGAGAGGATGGAGGAGGGAGAGGAGGAGGAGAAGGAGTAGATGAGGAGGAGGAGGAGAGGAGGAGGACAGGAGGAGGAGGGGGGGGAAAGGAGCAGCAGAGGAGAAGGAGGAGGAGGAGAGAAGGAGGAGGAGGAGGAGGAGTGAAGGAGGAGGAGGAGGTAGGAGGAGAAGGAGGAGGGAGGAGGAGGAGGAGGAGGAGGAGGAGGAAGGAGGAGGAAGGAGGAGGAAGGAGGAGGATGACAGTTCGCATAAGCCCTTCGGAGAAACCCTCCACGGCACACGCGAAACTGCAGTGACGTCAACAGTTGGACGTCCGCGCGCACTGCCTGGGTCGGCGCAGGCCCCCCGTCCCTGGCGCGCGAACGAGGCGTGCTGGGGGCGGCGCCCTTTGGCGCCGCCAGGGGTGGGTGGGAATATCCTCCTCCTCCTCCTCCTCCTCACCTCCTCCTCCACCTCTTCCACCTCCTCCACCTCCCTCCCTCCTCCTCCTCCCTCCTCCCCCTTCTCCTAGTCCTCCTCCTCCTCGTCCTCCTCCTCCTCCTCCTCCTCCTCTTCCTCCTCCTCCTCCTTCTCCTCGTCCATCTCCTCCTCCTCCTCCTCCTCATCCTCCTCTCCCTCCTCCTCTTCCATCCTCCTTCATCTACGCCTCTTCCTCTCTTTTCTTGGACGAGGAGGATGGGGGGAGTACCCATATAGAGGGCAGAAAATCCACCCCGATGCTAACCACCCCGGCACGCGAAGCCGATCAATAAACGCACCCAATGAAGGAATCGAACAGGGCAAGGCTGTTTGGTAAACGCCCAGGGCCGTTTGGTAAACGCCAATTGTCCGGTCCGGGTGGTTTTCCCCCCCTTGACCATAGGCTTAAGTCTGGAGTGTCCCTCTACAGGGGCAAATATTCAAAAATAGTCAAACGTAGTATGGGGGACGATCTTTCTAGCAATGCTGGACTATTTTTCAATGTGTTGTGAGTATGTTTGATTTGTCGTCCAAAATCCGCATGTAGGGGGACATGCCTGACCTAACCATAGGCAGTCGACATGTTGCCCATGCCCCCAGCCCTCTGGCAGCGGAGCCGGGCTGAGAGGCCCAAAACGTTTGGGATAGGGGGCCTTTTTCATCAGATGTGTGAAACCAAACCACCCAGATTGATGATCTCCGATGCAAAGACGGAGAGCCTCAGTGAGGCCACGCATTCACTATGTTATGCCTCCGCGTGGCTTGTTCTGGAAGCGCCCAGGTAGACGACGTCGGCACCGCGTCAAAGCCCACGGCAAACCCTGCGTTCGAGGCGGAGCTTGCCCCGGTGGCCGAGGCGCACTCTCGAAGGCGGAAGGCCGCGCGTCGGAACAAACGGCGCGGCGACATGTTAGGGTTAGCGGTTTTGCTATTATCCTCCTCCTCCTCCTCCTCCTCCTCCTCCTCCTCCTTCTCCTCGCCCTCGTCCTGCTCCTACTTCTTCTCCTCCTCCTCCTCCTCCTCCTCCTTCTCCTCCTCCTCCTCCTCCTCTTCCTCCTCCTCCTCCTGCTCGCCCTCAGAGCTGCAGCCTCCGGAGGGGCCCGCGGGCGTGGGGCGTCGGGCCTAAAGAGGCGCGCGGGCGGGGAGACGCTCGCGAGCGCCCGCCCCCGGAGATCCGGCCGCTGCGATGCTTCCACACCGGGCGTGCTCGCTCGCTGTCGGGCCCCGGGGCCACCAAAGCATGACGCCGACGACGCCGACACCGGCGACGGCGACGGCGACGACGACCACAGAGTGACGACGACGACGACGACGACAAACGCCGGCGGCGGCATACGACGACGGCGACGAGAAGCGCCGGCGGCGGCAGACGGCGGCGGCGGCGTCTCGACGTCGTCGAGTCCGACGGCGGCGTCGTCGGGGCGTCGCGGCCAGCTCGAAGAACGACGCAGTAAGATGGGGTCTGCCGTCGGGGCGTTGACCCAAGGAACACCGCAGGGAAATCTAAGGCGAGCTGTAGAACACTCGAGGAGCACGGAGCCCCTCCCCAACCAAAGGGCTCCTTCTTCAGCGCCCCGACTGTAGGGTTAGGTCGGGCATGTCCCCCTACAGGCGGATTTGGGAAGACAAATAAAAAGTACTCAACAAATGCTCAAGAATATTTGGAACTACTAAAAAAGTGGTCCCCAGATTATGCTTTGACTACTTTTGAATCATCCTCCTGTAGAGGGACAGGCCTGACTGAATTGCAGGGCTCTGGGCGTGACATTTCTCGACCTTGCACTTTTGTTCGCAGCGTCGGATCTCAGGGGGCGCGCAGGCGGGAACCGCTCGGGAGAGAGCCCGAGGGTCCCTCCGAAGCTCGCCCGCGCAGCGTCAGCCGAGGCGTCACCGCCTGGAGGACTCCTTGTACGAGATCCTCCGGCGGCGCACACGGAAGGGGTCGCTGACTGAGAGGCAAAAGGAAGGGGGGACTGGCATAGGGGGGGGGATGCACCGACGTGGAATCGACAATACATCGTCGATAGATCGGCGATAGGCCCCCCGATAGTGAAACCGCACCTTCCCGGGCGGGCTAGGGCTATCGGGCCCCCATCGGCGATCAGTGGGCGATTAGGAGTCGATGCATCCCCCCTATGCCTATCCCCCTCTATCGTTGGCCATGAATGAGGCCGACTTCTTGGAGGTATTGTAAGACGAAGCCAGGACAAATACAAATTCGGGTGGGAACAAACCGACAATCTTTGAGATCCGGCGGCTCTGGAGGATGTCTCGGACGACGCGGCCTTCTCAGAGCTTTCCGGAACGCTCTGAGAGCGTTCCCGAACGGCTTGGAACTGATCTACAGTCGGACTTGATTGGAGAGGACACGCGAGAGGACACAAGACCCTTGCGAAGGCCACATCGCCATAGGAGTGTAAGAAGGCACGTGTCGCGAGGCACAGGACACAAGGGTACCCTTGAGCTGGCAGGGTCGACCTACTAATCAGGCTCGACCGTATCCTCGTCCTAGCCGCGCTCGGTGTTGGGCATTTCGAGAGGCTCTCGTCGCCACCGCCAGACGGGGCTCGGAGACCTGGGTAGGATGGACCCCAGGAGGCGTCCGGGAACCGCCTTTCAGCGGATGCGGGCCGGGGGTGAGGCAGGGAGGATGGCCTTCAAAGAAGGCAGAAGATTTTCTTCGAATGGACTTGCGCCGTCGTGGAGGCTACTAAGACAGATTCTCGGGCGCACGCTCACGTGGACTACAGATCTGCAGATCTGGCGCGTGGGCGCGGAGGAGGAGGAGGAGGAGGAGGAGGAGGAGGAGGAGGAGGAGAAGGAGGAGGAGGAGGGAGGAGGAGGAGGACGAGGAGGAGGAGGCAAGAGAGGGGAGGAGGATGAGGATTTGGAGGAGGGGTAGGAGGAGGAGGAGGAGAGAGGAGGAGAGGAAGGAGGAGGAGGGAGGAGGAGAAATGGAGGAATTGGAGGAGAAGTAGGAGGAGTGAGGATGAGGAGGGAGGCAGGGGGGTGAGGAGGAGGGATCCACGGCTCGCGGATGGTTACTCCCCGAAGCAGGAGGCCAGTGCCGCCCGATCTGGCGCCGAAGCGCGCCGATTCTGCACGAGGGCCGGGGCCGTCGCCAGTCCACGCGCCCTCATCCATTAAGGGGGCCCCAGGACACACAAATAAAAACACACACAAACAAAAGGATCCCTCATATTTTCCCATATGTTCTGGGTTTCTGTCCTCCCCCCCAAGCCCCATATTTTCCCAGGGATCGACGATTCATTGTGTCTGTGTGTTTCTTTCCCTCCTGAGCCATGCCTGCGCCTCCTCTGGACGAGCGCGCTCCACTACTCTCAAAGTAGCTGCGCGCAAATCGCCTGGATCCGCCGCGGGGGGTCTACGACAAATTAACATCGAAGCAGACGTGTGTTTTTGTTCGGGCGTTTGGGAGTAGGCACTTGCGAGTAGTGGAGCGCGCCCGGTGATCCTCGCGATTCTCAGAGGTGGGGGCTCTTCCCAAGAAGGCCGCCCCCTCGTATTGCCCCTCTCTGCCTCCCGCGCCGCCGAGTCCTGTAGCCGAAAGAGAACTGCTCGGCGTTCGGGTCGGGCTCCAGCTCGGCCACCAGCTTCATGCCAGACGACAGCCCGACCTTCACTGTCTTGTCGCCGCGACCTCCCGACCGCGGGTCGACGACCGAGAGCCCAGAGCAGCTCGAGAAGTCCTGCGCGTCCGGGCACTCTTCAGTACTGACCTCCACGCCCGAGCTCGCACTGCATCTCACAACGGCTCCCTCCAGGCGACGATGCGAGGGGAGGTCTGGCCCAGCAGAGCAGCACACATCCACTTTGCGCCAGCACGCCGCATGAGCTCTCTCTCTCTCTCTCTTTCTCTCTCTTTCTGTGTTGTTTCCCCTCTCTCACTCTCTCTCGCTTCTCTCTCTCTCTCTCTCTCTCTCTCTTTTTTTCTCTCTCTCTCTCTCTCCCTCTCTCTCCCTCCCTCCCTCACACACACACACTTGCTCCACCTCCGTCGAGGCGACGCCCACAAGAAGTCAAGCTCGCAACCCCCTCCTCCTCCTCACCGCGCCCTCCCTCGCTGCCGAAACCGTGCAGGAATTCTTGTCTTGTGCAGGAAACCGGCTGCGCCTGCTTTTCGGGCCCCAGGACCAACGCAGGTCGATCCGATCGGGCTCGACAAATGTGTCTCGGGTCTGGGGCTCCGGTCGTGACTTCTCGCGTTGCGGCATCCTCAAACATCCAACCGCTCCAACTTCTTCGATGCGCGGGCCCCGGAGGTCTGGACCACTTCTCTAGGAAGGGCCGGTCTTTCGTCCTGAATCGTTTTTTGACGCTCCCGAGGCCCGGCGAGGGCCCCCAGAGGCCGAAGGCGGCCAAAAACCCGCCGCTCAATTTTTTGTTGCGGCTTCGGATCTCCGGTTCTTTTCCACAACGTCGGATCTCAGAATCTCGAGCCAGTGCCAGGGGGGTCACCGCCAGGGGGGTTGCCACCTCTTATAAGAAAAGAACCTCCTGGCTATCCAAGACGCCCAAGAACGCCCCAAAAATCCTGGTCCAGATCTTCCCTCCTCCTCGATCCTTCGAGTAGGGGATCGACTACAGAATTGATTTACCCCAGAATTGACTTGCTCGTCGAATCGACGAATCATGCTTACAAGATCCCGTAGATGTACGGAGCATTATATGTATTTTCGTGTGTTCGACGAGTGCATCAACTTTCGGG